TTTACATCAGAAAGACATTTGACACCTGTCCAGAATATCAGGGCATTACCCAGACTACAAAAGCTTCAGAACATTCTTAACAGTTGTTAAGAATGGATAGACCTTAGCTGGGCAATGGTGGTGCACACCTTTAATCTCAGCATTCAGGCACACCTTAAATCACCTTAAATCATTAAAGCATTCAGGGGGCAGAAGCAAGTAGATCCCTGAGTTCAAGGCCAGCCTGGTCTACAGAGTGAGTTCCAGGACAGCCAGGCCTACACAGGGAAACCCTGTCTTCAAACAAACAAAACCAAAACAAAAAATGGCGGTCCTGGGGGAAGGCAAATAGCAAAGCACAGGCCACTGAAAAGGCCACATCTTTGGAATTTGATTGACAAGGCATGGCAGCACAGCATGTCTTTGTATGTCTCTCTGTTCTCTTATGTCACTTCAATCACCCACCATCACCCGCCTGTCCATCTGTATCCTCACTCATCTATCTACCCACAAAAGTGGCATTCTGAATTCTATAGGAAACTGCCTGTTCTCAATTTGGTTTTCCATAGTGGTATGTGTCTGATACAGGAGCTCCATTGTCTCCTGTGGTCATGAGGATAGATGGTGGATATTTTCAGGGCCTTTTTGTCTTCCTGGTCAGCAGTACATGGTAGGCTTGGGCTATTATTGTAGCAGGCTTTTGTACTTGACAGACTTGTAAGGCCATCTTGACTTACAAAGACACAAGAGTCACATAGTTGTCATGTTTTTAGGGGAAAGAGCTATTATTAAAAGTCTTGAGTGTTACTCATAAAAATGAACATTTGAAGTCATCTAAGTTCCCGTGTCTTACCCTGTGATAAAATACCTACTACAATCCACTTGTGGGAGGAAGTCCTCACTGCCACCAAATGGCTGAGGTGCATACTTAACTTGGTCACCAGGTTCTTCTGGCATCAGCCCCTACCTGTTTCAGGGCTTCCCTTGCTGGCACGCCCTACCTTTTACCCTATACTTATACAGTAATGGGGATAGAAAGTTCCACACTGTACAGGTCCCCGGTTATTTCATGAACCGTGCAATCACCGTAGCGCTTAAAATGTCTGAAAATAACTGGGCATAGTGGTTTAGGCACATAAGCCCAGCACTTGGCAGGCCGAGGCCAGGAGGATTAACTTGAGTTTGAGGCCAGCCTGGGCTACATAGTGTCTTTCAGGCCAGTTTCAACTGCTTATCAACACCTTGCCTCAAAAACTAACAGGGATTGCTGAGGTGACTTAGTGGGTGGGTGAAGGTGCTTGTTGCATGAGCCTGAAGCCCTGAGACTTCATCTCTGGAACTCATGTAAAGGTGGAAGGAGAGAATTTACTCCACAAAGTTGTCCTCTAACATCTACGTGCACTCCATGGCCTATGTGTGCCCCCCATCATATACACATATCACACACACACACACACACACACACACACACACACACACACACACAC